CTTTCGGATCCAATTGCATCCTTCGAGGGGCCGTTGTTTCCTAATCAACTGGCTCCTGCCCTCCTACCAGCCCTTCTTAATAGAGTCAAGTGGCTAAATGTAGGCATTGCATTTTACTTTTCTAAGACTTGATTGGAGGCCTCGACCTCTGTTTCTTATGGTTCACTTTCCCTTCCATCATCCGGAGTCGTTCTGGGATGGCTTGTCGGATGTGGTGTGATCACTACATGATCTAGTGAGGTCATTTGCGACACTTCTCCATCCTTTTCAAACTGAGTTCCTTCTCGGGGGTTTAATCAACCTCTCGAGACTCTCAAATACTCGCTTCTGAGGTTCCATCTTTTGGTTAATTTTTCTAAATCCTAATGTTGACCTTCAAGACCATGTCGAGCGGATTCCGCGGTGTTTATCGGTGTGGGGAATGGTTCAATGTCAACCTTCATCTCAGGCCTCTTGGCTAGCCGAAGGCGGCCTTCCTTGATGGCCTTCTGCACTGCATTCCTGGACGTAATATAATTTATGACTTGATGGCCATAAAATCTATTCCATTTGCAGTACAACTTCCCATTCAGCCCCTCATTCATCGAATTTTGTGTCCTTCCTTAAGACGGAGTTGGTTTTCCTTTAGCAGATACTCAAAATATGCTCTGTCCTAGCAATGTCAAAAGAGAATTACACCTTCATAATCACCTCATTCCTTTGGGCCAGCATAAGAGCTGGGCAAGTGTAGGACTTCTCTTGGGAGATCTCAGACAGGAAGATCTCCTCTGGTTCATCCTCGACTTCGGCAGTTTCTCCCTTGGAATAAACATGGTGGTTTCCGCTCTGAAACTTCTGATTTCGGGCTTCTTGAGCATCATTCAAGAGTTGTTCAGCCTTCACGGCTTTAGATGCCAATTTTCTAAAATCGCGGTATTCCTGGAAGGCCAACTTCTCACGAAGCTAGTGCGTCACATTGTCTATCGTCATGTTCACCATACAAACATGGAATCTACTTTCTAACCTTATGAATTATTCTAGGACTGCTCGACCAATTCCTCTTATGCTGACGTAAATTTTTTAGGTCAGATACAGTCACCTCTAGAACAAGGCGATAGAAATATTCTTGGAAGGCCCTCTTCAGGTTTGCCCACATGTGGAAGGGAATTCAAAGGAAATGAAGCATACCATGTGAAAGCTAGACCAGTTAAAGAGAATGAGAATAATTGGAATTTGTACCAATCAGTATTCCCAAACTCCCCTCTACACTGAGGCATGAATCGGCTAATATGTTCAATCATAGAGAAAAAATTCTCTCAGGGATCCTAGCATTCCGAGGTAGTGGGTGGTCCAACGTGATATAGTTCGAAAAAGACCTTTGATAGCAGGGCCTTACCAATAGTCGGTTAGGATCGCAAAAATCCAATGAATTGCATCTTCGATCACCTGGGGATTTGTGATAGGATGTGGCAATGACGTCACTTCTACCTGCCTCCCAGGCTGCTTGGGAGCTGCACGAATGGGCAATGGATTAAGAAATTCCGGTTGTAGAAATGCCTGGGGAGTAGGCTCTCGATGTGGAAAATGAACTCGGATGCCTTCTGCAGCTTCTCTGAAGGCTAATGTCTGTTGTAGTGAAGCATTTCTAGGGTTCGACATCACCATCTCGGTAGGAGATCCGTAGCCTCGTTGTAATATGGAAGCAGCATCCAATTGACCTTCTCCGGCAGCTCCCTACCCCATCATATTGGGATGTTTCCAAAACTGATGATCTTGGTCTCCATGATGTTCCATGAGGTGTTGGGAGGAACAGGTGTACTGGAGCTACCGTTGTCCATGCCCCCCAAGCACCAGAGGTCCCTTGCCAAACCGTCGGATTTTCCTGAAAGTTTGGAGTAGGAGTAGGAACATTTGGCATCGTTCCAGCGTAAAGTTGGCTCGTGTACCATTGTGGCGCTGATGGGACCGTTCCAAAGGTCATTTCACATCTATCATGTCAGAGACGACTCGAAGGAGGCCCGCACCAATGGCATTCTGGACTCCCCTGCCTTCTGGACCTTATTCTTTAAAAATATAATTTGAATCAAATAATTTCACTATGTATAGAGCATATGCCAAGAGACCTTAATCCTATACATAATCTTACGACATTTGCTTCCCAAAAAATTTTAATTCCACCCTAAATAATTTCATAAATTATTCAACTGTATTAAAGAATAAAAATAGAAAAGAAAAACTAAAAATTTTTACCGGCGCAAGAAAACTTATGTCAAGTATAATATACACTAGCGTTCGACCTATATGCTATGAAGGGCAAAAATTAATCAGATTTATTGTATTGTAATTATATATATATATAAGCTATATTTTTATTCAGTTTAAAAATAACGTTAATGTTCATTACTAAGGTAGTGTTCCTTTTGTCGTATCAAGGCCCTTATACGGATCAAATGACAAATGTATGTTTGATAGAAAAATAGAATTATTTCCTTTCACGAAAGAAGAACCTACCAAAGTGTAATTCCAATAATACGATTGCCAGGACAAACGAGAGAAAAACATTGGACTCAATTAAAAAAGAAGTCACGAAGCAACTATTGGTAGATGAGGTAAGCATCGTATGTATAAGTATTCAGTCACATGGTATTCAACTCTCAACAATAACCCAATAATTATTAATCATCATTGAGTTGTAAGTGTAGGTGATTCATGCAATTAAGAAAAGATGGTCTAGTGATGCTAGTAAGGTAATCTATATACAATAAGACAATGCAAAGACTTACATTGATGACAATGATCCGAAATTTTGAAAATGACGAACAAGAACAAAACTATATTGGGGCTAGCTAGGGGGCACCTGCACCTGGCCCCCAAAATTTGTTTATATTTTTTTTTTAGTTTAAAAAAATGAAAAATTTATGTATTTTTAATAATTTCCCCCTCCCAAGTTTTGTATTTTATTTTATTTTTGTGTAAAAATAATAAAAATATGTAATTTTATTTATTTCTCTAGTATTCAATTTTTTTTAATTAAAAATAATAAAATTTGTATAATTATCACTACAAAAAAATAGTATATTTGTAACGGAATTCTGTTCCTAAAGTTTACGTAGCTAACGTAATTCCATCCCTGATTCCGTCTCTAATATCATTAGTAACGGAAAAAGTTGATTTAAGAACGAAAAAATCTTGTTACAAAATTGATATTTTTTTGTAGTGTATGTTAAAAAATTTCGTATTAAGCACACTATTATTGTCTAGACTTTTTTTTCTCATGCTTTACACTGTTGCATCAAAGGGAAAAAAAATGACATCGAATTAATTGAAACAAACTTATATGTTGCCCCCCTCCCCCCCCCCCCCCCAAAACTCAGAGGCTAGTTCTATCACTTATGGCAAGTAGTGATGAATTTTATATCCATTTGGTATTTGGACCTCCTACCAGCTCGAATACAAACATAAATAATATAAGATAGTTTATATCATTATAATCCTTACAATTTTTCAAAGTAAGCTACAATATAGAAAATCTACTAGCAGCCGTTGGAAAATCTTTTAAAGAGTTATTAGACACATCACTTAACAATATTTTTATCATGTTACAAATGTGTTTTACGTAGATTTTCAAATACTAAGGTAGCAATAACTACAAAATACCACATATACGCAAAGCAGCACTAGCAAAAAAATATTTACTCCCTACAAATTTGAAAGTGGATCAAGAATTGGTCAAGTTCATAATAGAATATCGGGTAGTGTCATTAAGCTACAGGAATTGAAGAACTCGTTACACTTGTAAAGGGTATGACCTAGTAGGGCTAATTTGCAATAGCATTTGATGTTTCTGTAATTACATCAAACCATTGGGTAAACGTATTTTATAAATATGAGATTACAATTAAATTAAATTAAACCTATTTCAGTAGGTTTTATTCATTTATAATATTTTTTTGGACATAGTGGGATATTAATTTGGGTGAGTAGGGTTAATTTAATCAATTTGTATGTTATTTAAAATTTTAAATTGTAGTTGTATTTGTGTAATTATTATAAATAAAATAAAATAATTTTATTGTATAGTGAAAATCATAGTTATTAAATTTGGAAATAAAACCTTTGTTTTTAATATGAATAAAATGGAAAAATAAGACTGTTATTATAGATAGTATAATAATGTATATTATTTTATTATTATTATTTTATTTATTTATATATTTTTTTCGCACGCAGTTGTTGTGCCAAATAAAAATTTAAAAAAAAAAAAAAAAAAACACTGATGTTACCATTGTTGAGTAGGGATGTCAACGGGCCGGGTTCTTGACGAGATTTGCATGTCCTGAGACCCGGCCTTCTAAAAAATATAAAGACCTAAGACCCGTCCCGCCCCGTTTCAACCTGGCCTCAGGATCTGTCCGATCCTGGTTCGGAGCCAACCCGAAAAATCCATTTTTTTAAGAAAAGAATAAAATATAATTTTTAAAAAATAATTTAATATTAAAAAAGTATGCGTCAAAATTACCAAAAAAAATTATAGTTCTAAAAATAATAACAATTAAATATTAATAATAGTTGCATATGGTGAGCAATAGTCTAGTTTATAAATAGAATTACAGGAGAAACAAATGAGCTACACACAAATTTGATTTAGAGTTAATATTATATTTTATATTTAAATTTTTTAAATAAATAAATAATATAATTTATATTGTATATTAATATAAGTAAATTATAATAATTATTAATATATTCGAGTTTGAATTCGAGTCTAAGGAGGGATGACTTTTTAGTAAAATCTATAATCAGCCCCGAACACAGCCAAATCTAAAACTCAAAATCAACGATCCGAACTAAAATTTTTTAGACTCGAACATGTCCCCTTAAGATCCAATTCAGGCGGTCGGCAAACCGCCCCATTTGACATCCCTTCTTTCAACGGCGCACACGTAAAATTGTTTTGCAAGTTAATTGAGAGAGAATTGTCAACGGCGCACACGTAACGGATTATCAGTGGGGTTGCCGTTTCTCAACTCTTCAATATTTTCTGTGTAAAATATATTATATAATATTTATTTATTTATTCATTTGAGATTAGAATCAAAGGACACTAACTGGATGCAAAACTCTAAAACAGCGAAGCAGCTCACTCAAACTCAATAATGTATGTATGTATGAATGTATGCATATATATATATATAGAGAGAGAGAGAGAGACAGAGAGAGACAGAGAGAAAGCGTTGATGATAATTTCACTCCCTCTCACAATCACTCTGCCGAATCAAATTGATAGCGAGAGAAAGACAGAGAGGGAGACGCTGCTGCTATTTGACGAATTGAGAGCGTGAGAAGTATATTACCTGTTTGTGTAAATGCTCCAATGCAATGTATTACAATTATCTGTACGTTTCAGAAATCTGTCTGATTTCTTCTGTTTCCGTTCCTTCTCAAGTGTTTGCAGCAGCATCAGCGACCAGTGCTGTCCAATTCCAATTCCGAGGAGGAGGACGACCACTTAGCACCACCATCCCTAGAAAAAAGCATAATCATTCACTCGTGTCGAGCAGGTTGAAACTACCGGACAGTTTGCCTTGTATTCTCAGGTATCCGGATGAGCTTTATTCAATGGTGAGGTTGAAACTGGCGTTAACGGTTTCAGAGAAGCAGATCCCGGCAGAGCCGCCGCACTGGCGATTCTGTTACTCTACGCTTTACAAAATGGATGGAAGTCACCTCATAATTCAGCAGATTGATGAGGATGTTCGTGACGCTGTGAGTTTCGTCTTTCTCACTGCTACGCTCTTCATAATTTTTATTGATTTCTTTGGAATATACTCCAGCAAGCATTGATGGACTATTGAGAATCGAATTGAATCTGTGTTCTTCTAGCTCTGAATTAAAAATTAGTTAGAATGAAGCAACTGTAGCATGGACGAACAGATACGTTTAAAATTAAATCCAAAGGCACGCATTGGCTGGTTTTTTTCTTTTTTTGTGGAACGAAGGAAGTCAATTATTTAGAATCAATCTTGTGTCCACCTCCGTACGCCTTAACTATGATGTCTGAATAATTACCAAAGATGATCTGTTTTGAAGAGAACTTCCATAACCTTCTGGTCTTTCAACAATTCCCAGTTTTGCATTTATGCTTTGGTTCTTCGAGCACTAGACACCATTGGTAAGTAACATCTATTGTTATTGAATCATTTTGCTAATAGCTAAGCTGTTGATGCCAATCTTATTTCTTAAATTATTTTAAGCGCAGAGGATGATTCAACTATAGCAACTGAGGTTAAAGTGCCCATTCTACAAACATTCCATCGTCGCATACGAGATGGAAATTTTCATTTCTCAAGTAAGTTTTGCAACTTAAGTGTCTGCCTTTCGACAATTAGCTTAGCATCGATCATAACTGCACATTTCATGATACCAAATCAATCAAGGCTGGTATAAATATATATATGAACTAAACTCTGCCTTTAGATGATTATCATTGATGATAGCCATTCAATTCATGATACCAAACCCGATCAAGATCAGTATAACTATATGCACTCACACACAAAAAGATTACATACATTTTTATGCCTTCTTCATATTATTGACTGATATTATCATCAGTAATTAACACAAAACCATATGTCTTCGCTCCAATTTAAATTTTCTACACGAGTTTTACAACCTGCAGATGGTGCAAAATATTACAAAGCTCTAATGGAGAACTTCCATCACGTCACCACTGCTTTTCTGGAGCTCGATTGCAGGTATTATTCTGAATCATCAATTACCGATCACTGCTAATAGCTATCAAGCAGATATATCCATAAGGGTGATTTTTAAGATTACCTTTTTAAGAATTAAAATAGTGATTAAGGCCTATTAAGTTCCTATACTCTTAGAGAATGCATAAAATGAAACTACAAGTCATAGATTTGTAACTCCTGTTTAAGCTCTAGTTTCTACATTATAAATAACTCGGACCATCAATTTACATTATATTGATTTAAATCACAATGGCTAGATATAAGAATTTTTTTATCAAGGCCTGCATAGTCAAGCTTCCAAAAGAATGACGAAATTAATCCGGTGTCGCTGCTGCGAATTATAAGTACCATGTGATCTTAATTATAAGTAACATGTAGCTGTAGTCTCCATGATATAGATATCAAATAAAGGTAATCAAACTAACAGAACTTGCCCTAAATGAGACCATGGATTCACGGTTGCAAACTCTGGCTTCTTGTGTTGAAAAACAAGTTTGACATGATGATCCCGCGTTATTGCAACAGTAAAAACAGTGGATAATACATACAATTGAACATTTTGTGAAACATTTAGGATGTTGATTTTAATTGCTTCAAAGGTTATTGATAACACGAGAACTTAAGAGAACCAAAAGACTAAACTTTATTGATAACCAAGGAAGAACTACTTTTCCCGACCAAGCCGAAGCCGTGAAATCGAAAGAAACCAGAATACTAATAATGTCTCAAAATAATACTTAAATACTAGGGCAAAAATATTATGGGCCTAGGCCGACCAACCTAACAATTTATTCAAAATGATCAAATAAGAAAATAAAGAACTAATGTACTTAATAGTAAAGTTAGGCTTCAGGCCATTGCTACAATTAGCCCAAAGCCACTTGCTCTTTCCTCTCTCGTCGTGAATAAACTTTTGGCTGCGCTCACCGCGTATCAACTGCATCTCCCCTAAGAATTGCCTTGTCCTCAAGGCAGGAGGTTGGGAACTAAGCACATAACTGTTCCTCGTCGATCCAAGTCGCATCATCGGGATAAAGACCGCGCCACTGAATCAAGACTTGAGGAACCATACTTCCAGCACGTTTGATCAATTGTTTGTTCAGAACAGCTTCAGGATCGTAAACAGACAGCTACTCGACCTCTAGGCTGGTGGGTAAATGAGGCTCGACTGGGTGATCGCCCAACACTCGACGAAGTTGAGATACATGAAACACAAGATGAATACAGCTAGTAGCTGGCAAATCCAGCTTATATGCGACCTTTCCCACGCAGCGAAGGACGCAGAATGGTCCATGAAATTTGGGCATCAGCTTGTGATGGGTGCCTTGGCGCAAACTGGCTTGGCGATAGGGTCTAACCTTCAAGAATACCAACTCACCAACTTGGAAGGTAAGGTCACGGCGATGGGCGTTGGCTGCCCGCACCATGCGATGTTGAGCATGCTCCAAGTGGTGTTTCAACTGTCACAGAACTGCCTCGCGGCCGCCAAGTAACTCTGAAGCTGCAGCAACTTGGCAATCCTCCGGCAAGAAACTATGCAGTGTGGGTGGCGGTCAGTCATAGACAGTCGAGAAGAGAGTAGTGGCAGCGGCAATGTGGAAGGAGGTGTTATACCATAACTTAGCCCATGGAAGGCAGGTTGCCCATTTTCGGGGCTGTTCCGAGCAAAAACAATGAAGGTATGTCTCTAATGTGCGGTTCAAGACTTCAGTTTGGCCGTCAGTTTCCGAGTGGTACGCCCAGCTGCGTAAGGTCACCTACTGCCCCGCCAAGTAGTACTTCATCTCCAAGGCTTCCCAATCCATCTGAATTTTTCCTACTATCCTGAGTCATGCGACACCCAATATTATATCCACCTCACTAAGAGGAAATACGTGACAGTTTGCCTGTTGTCTGCACTTTTGCTCCATCGATCTATATACTCAATTTTGAGCATACTCCTGTACTTGCCACCTTGCGACCATCGCCTAGTACCACATTGAATTCCTGTGTGGCGTTACATTCAATTTTGCATATAGAACCAATTTTTGGGAAATAAAATTATGGTTTCCACCGTAGTCAATTAGTACCGTTACATAAATCCAAAAGGACTACCACGGAGACGCATGGTTCGGGGTCCCGAAAATCCAACCAAGGCATATAAAGGGAATGCCCTCTGTGATGTTTCCTCCTCGAGCGGTCGGTCACTTTCCAAGGTAGGTTCCGCCTCCTCAGTAAATTCGTTCTCTCTTATCTCTCTTAACTCTCCAACCCAGTTACCTAAATCATCCTTTACCACAACATTAAGATATTTATTTTCGTATTTGTGCAGTGGACTATAGGGTTGTTTGCACTTGTAATAAAGCCGCTTCTCTTGACACTCGCGATACTTGTCGCAACTTAATTTTCTTGTGGTTCCCCTTGAGGAAGAAGTTGAAGTGACTGATTGTTGCCTCCCACAATATTGCTGCTAGTCAAATGGTGGTTCTCTACCCCTCCATCTGTGTTTGAGGAGATAGTGGTTCCAGCTCGCCCAACTAGGTTGTTTTGCAGTGTCGAAGAGGTTTTTCGCAGCTAAAATTCTGCCGCAGATCCATTTTTTAACTCACATTCAATGCTTCTGCTTACGCGGATTGCAGATTCGAGATCCGGCGGTTCCACTACCCTTAACTTATTTCTGATAATTTGTTTCAAGCCCCCTAAATAATACCCTAAGGCTGCACTTCTGTCAATGGTTGAGCCTGAGTAGCAAGTTGAGTGAATAAATTAACATATTCATCAACGAAACCCGTTTGCCTTAACATTACTATCCTTTCATACAGATTCCCTATGAATCGATAGTCAAACCTAGTAACCAATGCGTGTGGAATTCGATCCAGAAGGTAGAAGCATGCTTCATCATATGCCAACGGGACCACTGGAGCACCACATTTTCCATCGCCACTCGCGTAAGACTCACCTTAATCTCCTCGGGGACTCTGTGTAATACGAAGTGTTGTTCGGCCCTAGCAACCTACCCCAAGGGGTCGTAGCCATTAAAGCTAGAGAGTTGCGTATCCTTAAGCTTAAAATCGGTTGTCGGAGTACTCCACGTTCCTCCAACATCCTTAAACAAATGTTTCTTGCCCCCTCATGCCGGCAGCCCTCGATAGCTCCCTCCGCCGCTAAACCCCTAATAGGTGTGGCAAGAACAACTCAAGAATGGTATCTCGCATGATTGCTGAAAGTTCTGTCTTCCGAGTATGCACTTTTCTGTCCACCTTCGATTCGAGGCGAGACAATCCTGCTTGTTGTGCTTCCACGCCTGTTCGAAGTTCCTGTTTCCTCCAAAGCTTCAATGCGTTGCGTATTTGTTAGCGTCATTCTCCTCCGCTGAGATCCGGAAAGTCAGACCAATTTGATAACACGAGAACTTAAGAGAACCAAAACACTAAATTTTATTGATAACCAAAGAAGAACTACTTTTTCCGACCAAGCCAAAGCCGTAAAACTGAAGGAAATCAGAATGGTAATAATGTCTCAAAATAATACTTAAATACTAGAGCAAAACTACTACGGGCCTAGGCCCGACTAACCTAACAATTTATTCAAAATAATCAAATAAGAAAATAAAGAACTAATGTACTTAATAATAAACTTGGCTTCAGACAATTGCCACAATTAGTCCAAAGTACACTTGCTTTTTCCTTCCTCGTCGTGAATAAACTTTTGGCTGCGCCCACCGCGTATCAGTTATCTACCCAAGTATTTTTTTAGGTGTAATGTCTGTAAGTGTAATTTTGGCTTAGAGTTTTTGTATCTATTTTGGAGTATTTAAAGAAGTGGGAGCCAAGAGTGAGAAGGGTGTCTTTTAAAATTTATTAGAGCTCTCTAGAGAAAATAGTTTAAACGTTATTGAGTTATAATAACATAGTTTTTTATGCAATAAGCTTGTTGTAAGAAAGACTTGAGAAAGAAGTTTTCTTTCTTTTTTTCTTTTTTCTTTTTTCTTTTGCTATTTCTTGTTAATAATGTTAGATAGGTTGGTTCTCGTACATTGATGACCGAATTATATAGGTAAGTAAAGTGTGTTGTTTTTTCTACTTTTCACGTTTACATATACGTTATTACAACCACGGAAGAATTGTGCGTGAAATTTATTTATTGACCCCTTGGGGTTGCCATCGTTTTTATCATTTCGCTCAGTAACAATGCAGCTGAAACTAATTTGGCCTTTAAATAGAACCACATATTCGCATGAGATGTTTTGTGTTTCTGTGCTTCCTTTTTTCCAGATTTCAAGAGGTAATTGAAGACATCACCATGAAAATGGGTGCGGGAATGGCAAAATTTATTTGCAAAGAGGTACAATCAACGAAAAATTAACTTCATGCAAGTGGGGCAAGTAATCAGATATATGATCAATGATTTGATTTAAGAGCCTTGAAATCGTGTTTTCCAGATCAACACGATAGATGATTACGATGAATATTGTCACTATCCGGTTGGACTTTGTATGATAGGAGCATCGAAGATGTATAGTGTTAGCAGAGGAAAATCTCTGGCTTCAGAAGATCTCTCCAATGCAATGGGCTTATTTTTTCAGGTATAAATCAAGTAGAGTAATAGGTCAGCATATCCGATACTTTTGCCCGATCTGTTTTGTTTCCATTTCCAACAATGCAGAAAGTAGATACCATCAAAGATTATCCGGATGATATAAATATGATGCCAAATCCTCGCATGTTATGGCCCCGTCAAATATGGGGTAAATACGTCGACAAACTTGAGGTAATCAAATTGAATATATTTCTTGGTCATGATGCGTACTATTTAATGTTCTCTTCGTTATCCAAATATATGTTAACTTTTCTTATTAGATTCTCATCAAAAAAACAATTTTGCTTTTTTTTGTTTTACTAAAAAATCATACTCTGTCAACTAACATGATAAATACATATATATATATATATATATTGCTTTTTGTGTTTGATTTTAAAAAATAATAGTATTTAAATGGTAGTTAGTTGTACCTTTATGTGTAGAGACTTTTTTTTCCTTTAATAGTTTTATTTAATATAATGGTATTAATATAAATAAATATAATTTTGAAGGTTTTTATAATACTTTCTCTATTAGCCACCAATGCAATTATTTTGCCATTTCAGCCTGTTCAACTCCAATGTATCAGTTTCTTTTTTAGTAAGTGCAAAGCATATAGTTTGATCAAATTTACTAAAAAAGAAAAATGTATGTCTTATGTTTGAACATATGAAAATAGAAAAATATATGTGTTGTTAGTGGATGAAATTAGTATAACCTTTTATATTTTTTTCCGCTAGAAAATGCAACAAGTTCACACTTTGAATGACAAGAGGCAATATGAAAATTTGTTGATTGCTACATTATGCATTGCATTCATTCAGGATTTGAAAAACGAAGATAATTCAGCTAAGGCGCTGCTTTGCCTTAATGAGATGGTAACAAATGCTTTAACACATGTGGAGGATAGCCTAAAGTATTTGTCGACTTTGCCAGACCCAGCTATATTCCGCGGTATCGCCATTTTTAAGGTAAAATGAATCAAGGTGATACACTGCTTCCATAAGCTTGTCTGACTGAAAGAAATTTACTTAGCATTAACTAGTTTAAGGACACACACACACACACACACACATATATATATATATATACACAAACTGGAGAATCCAAGATTACTTGCAACAAGTTTAGGTCTAATCAATCTGAACACATGACTGAGGTTTTGCTTCGGAAATTTGCAGGTGATCGAATTTGGGACATTAGCTTTGTGTTATAATAACATTGAAGTATTCCGAAGTGGTGTGGGATTGAGACCAGGTAAGTGAAGATTGATCAATAGATAAATTGATCCGACATATATCTTCTAAATATATATCGTAACATGAATGAATCTTGTCATTCTGCTTTCTCTTCCTCTCATACATTCTTAAGACATCAAAGTATCTATGCTTTTACTTTCTTTCTAGTCCCGAAGTGTCTAAAAATACACAAGGCTTTGTCTATTTTGAAATTTTTTTCAGTATCGGGTAATTTTGAAAATTAATAAATATATATATATATTAAACAAACAATAGGTATTTAATATGATATAGAAAAAAAAAAAAAAAAAAGAAGTATCGAACTTGATATTTTCGTATTGAAAATCGGTATTTAACATACTCCCTCCGTCCCATGTAATATGGGTGTATTACCGTAGACACGGGAATTTAGGTAAAATATAATTAGTAAGTAATTAAGAAGTGTATTAGTAAAAATAATTATTATTTAGTAAAAATAATTATAGATTAAGATTAAGATAAGTAAATAGTTTAATTAAAATTAAGAAAATTATAAAATTTAAAATTTAAAATGACGATTAAAGTGCATAATTATATTTCCAAAAATAGGAAGGACAAGTTACATGGAACGAACAAAAATAGAAAATAGGGACAAGTTATGTGGGACGGAGGGAGTAATATTTTATGTGGTATTATTTTGAAAGAATTATTGCTTGATGAATAATACAAAAAAACTTCTAAAAGTAAACATAAGTGTTTATTCTTTAGGAATATTGTTTTGTATTTTTTTTTTAATTTTGATTTAAATAATAGTTTAGATGTGATTTTTCATATGAGTAAATAATATATCTTTATCGCAAATGGCAATGATTGTATACTAAAAAGATTGAAATCAAACACCAAGTAAACAAAAGTTAACTCCCAATTAGACTATCTAATTAACTAATATCCTTATAACTTATGAGAAAGCCTAATAGTCTACAGAACCTTAGACTATATCAAATCTCCTTATTATGAGAAACCCGACAATCGAATAGCTTTTACATTCTCATTAGCTCAACTATTGACTCCTAGGTTTGTTTTGAGTTTGGAATTTGGAGAATAGTGACGATTTGAACGAAGATACAATTTTGGAAGCCACGTAGATAAATATTTGATGTAATATTTTAAATAAAACTAATTTATGATATAATATATTAAATAAAAATTATGTGTTCGATTTGATTGTTTTGAAGAAAAAAATTAACAAATATTGTGAGACCAGACTTGACATTTGTTGTGAAGTCATATGTATATGCAACAGCTTTTGTATTGAGATTCACAGTCCTTTCACTAGAGTTAGGCTCCCGATTTTGTTTTTACACTTTTCAAATCAATGAAAATATATATAGGTTTAGTGTAGATATAGATTTTGAAACTATGAAAATTTAGAATATTTTTAAAATATTAAACAATTGAGTATTTAATATGATATTTTGTGAAAAAATATATATATTTGACTTGATATCAAATAATGGCATTTTATACTTGTATGCTCAGGTCTTGCGGCTAAAATCTTCTACAACACAAGTTCAATGTCTGATGTTTACGAAGCTGTACACGACTTCTCTTTTATACTTGAATCCAAGGTGCGTTGTCAAACCAACAAATATTTGTTCTTCCTATTTTTTTTCCACATATTTTTTAAAAAAAATTAATATATTACACACATTCATTATTATTAAATTTTCCACACAATTCCCTATACCTCACATAAAAAAAATTTTCTTCCCAACAATCTCACAAAACAAAATTAACAATGCTTTTTAGTTTATCGTGAATTTTACAAGGTAGGTTTGGTTATAGAAATATTTGGATGGAGCGCATGTTTAACTCATGATGATCAAACTCTATTATTTGAGCCTAATCTTAAGTTGAATTGAAGTGGGTGGGTTGATGTAGATTGAGATGGTTCGGCCCAGTAGACAAGTCATTTATATTTTAAGCTAAACATATGTTATTTTATCAATAGTGATTTTTTTTTTTTTCAAAATAGAATATCAAATAATTATTTTATCTTGCAATACATTACATTAAATACATATATATGTTGATGCATTGCCAATGGAGGACTTTGTAGATTAGCGACAACAATCCTAACGATAAAGTGACGAGGAGCCTTATAGACACTATCAAGAAATGTTGTAGAAGTTCTCTTACTTCAAACCAAAGGTATGTATGTAGTTATTCCACAATCTTTCACTTACATAGGGATGGATAAAGTACTAAAATTTTCGTTATACAGAATTTATCATAGCTAGAAATACTAAATTTATCCAAAATTTTTGGTATATAGATATTTTGAGTGCGGTATGGTTGTCATACCAAATATTTAGTACGGTGTCAGCATGTAATTTTCAAAGTTTAAGTATGTCGTACTATATCAATATATATAGTACAATATATATATATAATTGGTATATTTTGTCATTATGACGAAAATTATTCGGTATGCTATCAATATAAAATTTTTATAAAAAAATCGAAATATCCATTACAGTATTTTGTATACCAAAAATTTTGATATTGTATATGATAGAATATAAAATTTCCAGTATACCATACCGATGTATCCCAATACCAACCATATCAATTCATTTCCTTCCTAACAATTTATTCAAAATTCAATATTTTTTTGCCAGGAAATCTTACATTATTTAAAGCAATCTCCATTTGATGTTGTATGTTTGTTCATCGAAGAATCAACTCATCTAGAGGAGTGTATTAAAGTGCAATGTAACCTTACAATGTTGCCACCGTCCTTACTATCTATCTGGTGTATACAATGCAATAAACTAAATCAAGAGTCATTCGGCTCTATTTCTTTTAAGGTCTGGATATAATATTGTACAATTCATTTAAGAATTCCTTTTCTAAAATCATCAAATTAATATTATTTCAATTCACATTTATATTATTTTTAATCCTTAATTTTATTTTACTTTTACTCGATAAAAGCATTTGTTTGTGTTGTCACGCCTCTAGGCTCTATGCACATCTGATAATCAATTTCCTTCAATAGTTTTTTAATAGAAAATTATGTGTAGTATAAATATGTTTTAAATATCTGACCTGTCGCGCGGTCAATCAAATAATTCACCTGTTGCGCGGTCAATCAAATAATTCACCTATTCCGTTATAACAATTTGATGTAATACAGGAAAATGGATCGTCTCCATGTGTGATTTACTCTTTCGCGTTCTAATGCAGTAAATAAAAGGAGGAGAGTTTTCTTTTATTATCTAATGAAGATAAAATAACAAAGCAATTAAATCAACGAAGAACTAGCTATCAAGGGGATGTCTGGCTCAAGGGATTATGCAGTTATGGCACTTGTGTTTTATGATTAATTCAATAAAGTTAATTCTTATTAAAGTATCAATAAATTGGTTATAATTATCAACAAGCTCTGACAACCAATTTCTCCTTACAGTGCAGGTAATTAAGGTACAACGGTTAACTACCTCTAATTAAGCAAATAAACCTAGGTGTGCCCATAAGAAATATTGTCTAATCGCATTCTAATATAGCAAAACTCAATTCAAAATAATTACTACCTAAGAGGGGCAATTAGATTTGATTATCTAACCTCCGGGAAGGAACTATTCAACCCGGTTGTCACCTATTCAAGTGCGAATATAATTACGGATATCCTACCTGAATTAACTTTAGATTATCAGACTAATTCAAATATCGGTACCAAAATATTCAACCAATGGGAGGGGAAATATTCTCTGTCGATTTGCTCATGCGCGATCTATGAGTCTGTCAGTCTCTTGCTCCTGTGTGTATCTATTTTGGCCGTTCTCCCCCTCTAAAACGTGTGATACTCCCTTTTTATTTAATTTTGTCCTAATTATTCTGTAGATGGGCTTTTGGGTCTTTGATTAAATTCTCATGTCACTAACTAAATTGTGCAAATCTGAATTTTTCTTTACTTTTTCTGTCAATTACGCCAAATTTGATATTTGTCCTCTACACACAGCAAATAAACAATACGCATATAAATTAGGTAGAATCCAATCAAAATCAATCAAATATCGCATATGATATGAACATAAAACGCATGCGATTTCTAACTATCAAATCATCCCACACCTAGATCATGCTTGCCCTCAAACATAGATTCGAAATAAACCAAATAAATCGCAAGCGACTCAATATGACAAGAGAATCCAACACAACCAGTTCAATTCGAAATCCAACACATCAAGCTATGTCAACCTCACAGGATAAAGTGTATTTGCACATGCTCTCTGAAGGAATGAAGTGTATAATTGGCTCAACACTCAGGTGGTGCACCAAAAGATTATCCCATAGGCTTGAGTAAAAATCAAATCTCTCTTGCTTAAAGTATTCGAATCTAACATAAAGAATCAAAGGGACTTACAATAAGGGTTTTAGCGGGGCTTATGTTTAGGGGTAGGAAAAGGATAAACGATGGCTAAGTATGTTAAAAAAGAATACATTAAAAACACGATGCTAGCACATGAAGAACAAATCGCCATAAACAATGAAATTCTTACTTTATTCACTACCCAAACTTCAATAATATAATTAAATAGAAATACTTCATCAAGATGATTATTTTATTATTTATTTATTATTATTATTTTTATTTTTATTATTTTTTTTGTTTCTTTTTTTTTTTTTTTTTTTTTTTTTTTGGTTTTTGCCTTTATATATATATATATATATATATATACCTTTACTACCCACAATCATTCATGTATACTATGATTTATTCGTACCCAAATTTTATTTCTAACCAGTGCCGAAGAAATAAAGTGCATCACAACATGAACTTAAAGTAATTCTTTCTAACATAGGGTTCAAATCGGAGAAAACTTAATCGAAAGAAGGGTATGAGGCTAAAAGACAGGTTATTAAAAAATAGGCTAAGAAGGCTCAAATGGGCTAACTAAGGGAATATATTGTGCTGGGTAATAAAGAAAGACTTAATGAGGTTACCTAATGCCCTTATCATTTTCAAAACACAAGACTCGATGGTTGCAAGTTCAACATGCATAATCACTCAAGTTGTAGGTCATCTAATTAAGCACTACAAATCACACATGAAAGAAATTTCCAAAAGCTTGAATATATGCAATTTATTTTCTAATGTAACTTTTGGAACATAGGCTCAAATCTCACAGGGTTCAAACGTCGACTTGACTCAACATATCACCAATCAAATGTCATTAGTCATGTCAAACTAACTTATCACACAAATCACATTTGACTCACTTCAGACTAATCTCAAAGCATGCAAAAGAACAGCAAATCAGACATAAAAAGTAACAAAAAAAAATGAAAATTTTGCCCAAAAATTTGCATAACTCCTCTCCCCACACCTAAAATATGCATTGTCCTCAATGTAAAGAAAGAAAAATTAAAAAAGAAGGAATAGAAGAAACGAGTAATGCTTCCCTGGTTTAAGGAGCCAATTTCAATCGGTGCAGGGAATGAGTGACTGGATCATTAGCTTTAGCTTGGAGAGGGTTTTTTTTTTTTTTTTTTTTCCTTTAGCTTGGAGAGGGTTGCAGTCACTTCAGTGCGAAACGCGGCATCCTCAGCTCGAAGGGCTGAAAGTTCAGTTTGTTGGTGCCTGAGTGTAGCTCGCAAGTGATCAAATTGCGCTTGGAAGTCATGAGGGGAGGATGAGGGTGCATCGGGCTCAAAGGCAGCGAGGTCCGGAGATGGTAGAGATCCGTGGACCGGTATGCCAGCGAAGAATCGAGTCCCGTAGGAGTCTGTAACCAATTTCATTACCTTGAGATAGGGAATATCCAGTGGTGTCATCGAGCAAGCCCTGTGAAGAGAAAAAGAAGTAAGATACTCAATAAAAACATCATAAATAAGACCAAGGTTAAAGGGCAAGGTGAGTGATGTAAGAGCCGTGAATGAGGTTGCCGCCTTTAGTAGAAAGCACACGAGAAAATCTATCGGCCAATTTTGAAAAAATTTTAATAATTAAAAAATTTTGAAAATTTCAAAACTTTGTTATATATATCAGTTTTTAAATAAAAACACTTAAAATTTTTTGAATCTATCAAACAATTTTAAAAAAATAATAAACAAAACTAGCCCTAATACAATATCACAAAACTAGTTATGCACGGGTAATTATAGAAATTATGATATTAATTTAATTTTATATTTTAAATAATAAATTTTATTTTGATAATAAAACTTTGTATGAGGATAACAAAAATTAATTTATATAAAAAATAAACTATAAATAAAAAAAAAATACAGTAACTAAACCAAATAAAGAATATTAAGTAAGCAAATCAAAATTTCATAAATATATACTCCAATTTAAACTCAAACATAATACAGATAAAAAATAGTTATTCATAATCACTCTTAAATTAAAAATCAAAATAAATTTGAAAGAAGTTTGTTAGCCTTTGGTTAAAAACAATGTTCAAATAGCATACTAAATAATATATATAGTAATGAAAAGAAAAGCAAACAAATAATATTAAGTAAATCATAAATCAAATAAAACTTATAAACCATTTTAAATTCAAACTTAAATTAGATTTAAAATATTTATTTACAAAATTATTAAATGAAACATTACAATAAATATTTATTTGCTTCTTCTTCTCCTTTTTTTTCTCCTCTTTTCTTTTTCTCCGGTGGCGGCGGTGGCGGCAGCGGCAGCGGCAAGTTTCCGGAGAAGATTTTTAATATATTTTTTTTAAAAAAAATAATAATTGTTTCAAAAAATTCGAGACAATTATCAAATTTAATTAACACGCTTGTGGATATTTCCTCTCTGGATTGAGTCTCAGAAATTCCGAGGCTATTTCCGAGACCACTAAAATGGCAACTAGTTTTATTCTTTGGTATAATTTCGAGACAAAACCTGAAGTCAAAATTAATTTTTCTTAAAATCCTTTTAAATTCCGAGATAATTTTTTTAGAAACTTTTCTAATAATTTTTGGTAGTGGAGCACCCATTAACCATTTTACGTATAGTTCTGTATAATAATCTTGTTAATATTTTGGTTGATGTTTAGAGACAGACCAGTCTACACTAATTGGGTTAGAAGCTGAGATAGTTCAAGATGTAAATTGGCCACAATTTCGCAAAAACGTAGCTGGTGCCCTTATCTGCATTGTGGAATAGTTTGTTTAGCGTAATAAAGTGTAACAAACTCTGTGAGTGAAAAGAGTGCGTGAATTAGATTCCATATTCTCTTATGAGATAAAACTGAAAAAGATGTGAGTGTGGCTTGATTAACAAGGTGAGAAAATGAAGAAGTTGTAGGGGAAGTGTATGGGGTCTACTGAGACAATTTTTAGAATGAGTTGGGATGTTCATGAGGTAGGATACAACACTCTTGTAAGCTTATTTTGCTCGTGATCATCGATGATGATTGAGCCTGGGTTGGAACCCCCAGACACAGGTTAGTCTTAACCGAACTGGATTAACAATTGTTCAGTGTTTAGATTTTACTGTGTGCAATTGAAGTTTTCTGAAAACATTTTGGTGTTGTTTGATTGTTCTTGGTTCGCTGCTGTTTGATTTTAAGCAGATTTGGAATCAACATTTTATGTTTTTACTGAAAAATTAAATTTTTTTATTTCAAGTTACAAAAATCAAGTTCAAGGTGCCCCAAAATTTCGTTACTTCAAGGAATTAATGGTGATAATTCATAAAATTTATAGGAAAAATTATTTTTACAAGTACAATGGTCCACACTTGCAATAAAATAAAAGAGTTAATGGTACTTCTTTTTATTATGAGAAGCATATAATATATATTTTATTGAAATATAATGATAAAAATATTGAAATATATATTTTAAAAAATTTTAATCGTATATATTAATTCATATTTTAAAAGTACAAACATCATCACTCGTATAAAAAATAATCCTTCTGTTCTACCTTTTTCGTTCA